TTCCCAACACTTCCTTGTACTGAGGTCTTTGATTCCTTTTCAGCTGTTGTACAGGGAGAGAAACAGGGATCTAGTTTCAACTATCCAGTTCTCCAGCATCACTGGTTGAAGAGGTGATTCCATTCTTTTTACAGCTGAATAGCATTCCATGGTATATGTACACCATTTCCTTTTTCCATTTATCAATTGATGGGCACTTAAAGGTTGATTTCAGTGTTTTGACTATATTGTGAATAGTGCTGAAATAAACATGGGAATACAGATGTCTTTCACATGCTGATTTGATTTCCCTAGGATAAATCCTCCATAGTGGCATTGCTAGATCATTTATAGTTCTATTTTTAAATTTTAGAGGAACGACTATATTGTTTTCCATAATGGGTATAATAATTCACATTCATAAGAGTGTACAAGTGTTTCCCCAAGCCATCACATACACTTCTCCTTCCTTCCTTCCTTTCTGCCTTCCTTCCTTCTTTCCTTCCTTCCTTCCTTCCTTTCTGCCTTCCTTCCTTCTTTCCTTCTGGCCTTTCTGCCTTCCTGTCTTCCTTCTTTCTTGTGCCAGTCCTGGGGCTTGAACTCAGGGCCTGGGAACTGTTCTTGAGCATATTTGTTCAAGGCTAGCAATATACCACTTGAGCCACCACATCACTTCTGGCTTTTGGTTGGTTAAGTGGAGGTAACAGTCTCAGACTTTCTTGTCTGGGCTGGCTTCGAACCATAATCCTCAAATCTTAGCCTCCTCAGTATTTACAAGTCAAGGTGGGAGCAACCAGGGCCTAACTACTTGTTTTCTTTGTTCTTTTTTTTTATTTTTTTTTGGGGGGGGTTTGTGGTGAGGCCTGAACTCTGGGCCTGGGTGCTATCACTCAGCTCTTCAGCTCAAGGCTAGCGCTCTACCACTTGAGCCATAGCACCACTTCTTGCTTTTATATTTTCTGCTCATGTGGTGCTGAGGAATCAAACCCAGGGCTTCATGCATGCAAGGCAAGCACTCTACCACTGAGCCACCATCTCAGCCCTCTTTGTTGTTTTTGAGAATCACCTTTCTTAATGTGATGAGGTATATCTCATTGTGATTTTGGTTTGCATTTTACTGATGATCAGTGATATTGAGCGTTTTTCACATATCTACTGTCCATTTGTATATCTTCTTTTCAGAAATGTTGATTTTGGTATATTATCCTACTTTTTAATCCAGTTATTATAATTATTTGTTATTGAGTTTGTTAGAGTTCTTACATATTTCAGATATTAACCCCTTGTCAGATACATAGTTTGCTAATGTTTTCTCCCATTCTGTAGACTCTGTCCTTACTTTGTTGCTTATTTCTTTGTAGAGCAGAAACTTTTTAGTTTAGTGTAACCCCATTTGTCTGGTTTTGCTTTGGTCTCCTGTGATTTTGGGGTTTTGTGTATACTAACATCCTACAGAATTTTCCCTATGTATTTGTCTGGGAAAACATTTCTGCCCAAACCATCTCAAACTGAGATTCTTCAGCTCTTAGCCTCTTGAGTCTCTTTCTGTAGCCTAGACTGCCCTTCAACTTGTTATCCTCTTGCTTTCTACCTGAGTGCTGGCATTGAAAGCACACACCATCATACTTATTTTGTGTTCATTTTTGTAAATGATAAGGGATTAGGAACTATTTTATCCGGATGCATTGTATCATAAACTGACATGTTTAATTGAATCACCTTTGCACAATCACTTAAAGATAATTTAAAAAATTAAAAGAAAAAGAGAAAAAGGGTCTCCTTTCATAACTTTGAATGTGAACATAATTATTTTCTTTTTTCAGGTTAAGAACATTTCTGGATTTCCTAAATTTATACACACAGTATTTAAGAAATTTTTCCCCATGAAGTAGGATACATTTCAACTTGTGTATAGTTATTTACTTCTAGTAAGTTGTATCTTAAAAAATAACGGAGGCAATTTTATGTAGAATTACTGTGAATTGCCTTAAAAGTGTTACCATAGAGCTCAATGGAATTATGGATTCCAGTCTAGGACTCATTCTAAAGGCTCTCAGCATGTTCTACCAATATATGTTGATGACCTGCACAGTGTCTCTTTAAAGAGTTAAAAACAGTCCTCACTATATGCTCAGGATATAGCATACAGATATCCAGAGAATTGAGCAACATTAGGGCAAATTATTGTGAAGTCATTAATGGACCACAGTCCCTTGCTTCAGGCCCACTTCCAATGTTTCCAGTCCTGATTGCCCCCTTCTGCCTTTCAGAGACCTATGTCACCCACTTAGATGTCTCTCCTGGCTGGTGGGGATTCTGCTTTTGAGATTCTGCTGGTCCAGGCCTTCTTTTCCTTTGACAGAGCTGTCCTCTGCAAGAGCCCACCTTCCCAGCTCCTGAGAGTCCTTGCCCTGGACAGCATGGCCTCCCTTTCCTTCACCCAGCCTCCCTCCCTGTCCACTCTTCTCAGGGCATAAAAACATGAAGATGTGCCTCATGTTTCCAAAGTCTCTCCCTGTAGTTCCCATTTCAGTTGTATTCTTTGACATCCAAACTACAGTCTAGTGAGGGGCTGTATTGCTCCTGGGGCCTGGTGTGTGAGAGGGGTCAATAACTGGCCTCCTACCTCAAGAAAGGAGTCTTTGACCAATACATATGAACATACTACTTTGGTTCTTCGACAGTTATGATTCTAATGTTTTAGCTTAAAATTTTATTTGCTCAATTGAGTCTAGAACCTTTCTCCCTGAAGATATACAAAACTCAGAGTGACAAGTAATTTGTAAGGACTTAAAACAATGTGAAGGGCCAGCCCTGTGTGAGAGCAGGGCACTGGGTCTTTGTGGACAAACCAGAGAGAACCTCACTTGAGGCCTAAGCTTACACACAGAACTGGACAAAACCGGGGAGCAGTGGCCGCTGGGCCTACACTGTCAGCTCCAGTGTCATGGCTCTGAGCGACTCACCTTAGCAGAACTCTGCAGATCATCTGATTTCTAGGATCTCCTATGACAAAGTGGAGGATTATCTTTTCAGGTGATTACTTGCAAGGTATTCCTCACAGCCTGAGCCACCCAGAGCTGCAGGAACTCGACAGTGATGGAGACTGAACTATGTCACGAGGAGAACGCAGGAGAACGTCATGGATATTCCTGTCACCCAACAACACTGCCAAAGCATCGTGGATTCAGCAGAGCAGGGTTCTGGCAATGACCCTCTGGCTGGGCTGGGGAGCAGCCTAGCTGAACCCAGGCTTGGCTTCTGGAGGCCCAGTCCTGGGAGGTTCCTGGCAGGGGCTGCATTGATTGTTACTCCTCCTAGTGGGTGTGGTCCCAGCGCTAAATCCAGGCTTTCCGGATTGGCAGAGGTGTTGGACGGGGCGGCGCCAAGAGGCACGGGGCGGGCCGAAGACTGACTTGGGCAAAGCTGAGCTTTCTTCCTCAGTTGGCCTCAAGTGCTGCTGGAAGCCAGTCGGGGCGAAGTCAGTCTGCTCAGTTCACAGCACCAGCACCATGCCTATGACACTGGGTTACTGGGACATCCGAGGGGTGAGCGAGGGGTCCCCGTGGCGAGGGGTGAGGGGCGCGGGTTGGGAACACGCTGAGTAAATGGGGGCTGCTTCTTCAACAGTAGTTGCTGGATAGAATCTGCTGTTCGGCCCTCCCCTCTCCCCGTGTGTGTGTGTGTGTGTGTGTATGTGTGTGTGTGTGTGTGTGAGAGAGAGAGAGAGAGAGAACATTAGGCATAAACAAGTTTCTGAGCACCCCTCCTCCCTCCCAGTGTCTGACTTGTGTCACCTCCCATCTCTCCCAGCTGGCCCATGCCATCCGCCTGCTTCTAGAATACACAGACACAAGCTATGAGGAGAAGAAATACTCGATGGGAGATGGTAAAGACACTTCGTGGGCAGAATCCTGACCCCTCCTGCGCTGCCCATTGGAGCCCTGACACCTATACAGTGGTCACCTGTTGCTCAGCTCTGCAGGTCTCCTCCACTCGCATGCAGCACCTGCCTGTTCAGGAAACCCTTGGAGGACCCAGTGTTATTTTTCAAGGCAGGGGCTGGGAGTGGAGGGCTGTCTGTAATTCCGTTTGGTTTCCTGAAGTGCTGACTTAAACTTTTTGTGAGCCTGGTCTTGTAAATCTCTCATTGCATTCTTTGTCCTTGTAGCCTTGGAAGGTGGGACACAGCTGGTCAGAGTGCAGATCCCCTGCCTCAGGGGGTCCTGGGGAAGGAGGGCTGGACTCAGGGAGGTTTGTTTTCACTTGATCTTGTCTACCACAGCTCCTGACTATGACAGAAGCCAGTGGCTGAGTGAGAAGTTCAAGCTGGGCCTGGACTTCCCCAATGTAGGTGCAGGGGAAGGGGTGGTCTGGGGAAATGAAAGTGACCCTCTTGCATCATCTTTTTCTAGCTTGTAGGTTTTAGGATCAGTTATTCCAGACTGTCTGTGTTGTGTCTTCGTGATGCTGCATGCCCCAGCCCTTGCTTTCTATCTGCCCTGTATTCATGTAGGGCTCAGCATGGCCAGGCACTGTGTGTCTGCTCTAACCCAGGGAAGGGCTGCTGGGGCCTGGGGCCCCTTGTAACCTTCCCTGCTTGTCCATCCAGCTGCCCTACTTGATTGATGGAGCTCACAAGATCACCCAGAGCAACGCCATCCTGCGCTACATTGCCCGCAAGCACAACCTGTGTGAGTGGGGCTGGTGGCTGGGTGGATGTGTAGGGGCGGGACGTGGTCTTTCCTTGGGCTTGTTTGGGGTCGGATGGAGAGGATGCAACCGAGTTGTGTGGCTGCAGGTGGGGAGACAGAGGAGGAGAAGATTCGTGTGGACATTTTGGAGAACCAGGCTTGGGACACTCGCATACAACTAGGCACGATTTGCTACAGTCCTGATTTTGTGAGTCTTTCCTTAACCTGAATGAATTACTGTTGGGTTAGGGTTCTAGACCCTCAAAATCTCATCTGCTCTGGTTCTGTTGAGAAGCGTGATATATATAACCAGATAGACCTATATTTGCCATTTTGTATTAGACCTGCTTGAAGAATGCAGCTGCTATTCTATCTGCCTTGAGCCCCAGACACTCCCAGATCTGGAGTTGAAATTAATGACCTTCTGGCATGGAGTACCAGACAAAGTACACATTCCAGACCACTTTCCCCGGGCCTAGGATCAGAGATAGTGCCTACCTGGCAACCATTTCCCCCGGGTCGGGGTCAGAGATAGTGGCCATCTGGCAACCACTTCTCCTAAATTACCCTAGAAGTACCGTTTAATTAGTTTAGAGCACAATAGCTGGCTAGCCTGACCAATTAGTAGCCCCAGCCCATTTTCCCGCTTTGTACTGTGCCAATCATCCACTAGAACTATGATTTAAATGTCCCGTGTGGTGTATTGATTCGTTGCCAATACATACTGAGGCCTTACCCCTACCAAAGAACATATAAAAGGTGCTGTAACCCTGTGCTGGGGGCCGCTCTCTGCACTCGGACATCAGTGCACAGAGGGGTCCGTGCTCGAGTTCGTCAATAAACGACTCATTGCCGCTTGCATTGATCTTTGGTCCCTGGTGGTCTTTTTGGGCCCTTCACACTGTTTGCCGTCTGAACTCTCTGAACTCATTGTGCAAGTACTGTTCCTAACTACCAAATAGAGTAAATCTCAAATCTAACAGCACATCAGATGCAACTTACAATTAATTTCCACTAACTCTTAGGATGCAGCTCAGCCTCTCCAAGGGAAAATTCAGTACCTGGACAGTAAAGTTTGTGTTTAGAATTCCCCAGCTGAAATCACTGATTTCTGCCCTGAACACTAACTACATCACTGATCCTGGAATACATATCTTTAAAGTAGGAAGAAGAAGAGGACAATTGAGTGGGAAGGGCACTCTCCCCTGGGAACTGTTTCCCAGTTGTTTTCCCAGAGTGCCGGTCCCCTTAACACCCACAAGGATGAGCTGGCTTTCTGGAAAGTCTACATGGATGAAGCGCCTCTCATCCTTCCCCTTTTCTCCCAGCTCCCCAAATTCACTTTCCTTTTGTTTTGTTTTTTAATGTTACAGAAGTCTGTGCCTTCTCACTGACCTTCCACTATGTAGAACATCCTGCTTTTATTCCCCTGAGTGTTTTCCATTGTTTGCATCCTTGAGTCTGCCTGAGTTCATAGCTTGATGGTGCACGCAGCACTCTTGGGCCTCAACCATAGGAAGTGTCTTGTACATTAAAGGTGACAGATCGGGGGACAGTGTTGAATTCCTCTCGGGCTTCTCTTCACCCCTGAAATAGGGGCTCTGTCACCTATTTATTTAAAAATGGTGATGCATTCAATAGAAGCTTGAACCCTGGAATAGCCCCAGTTACATGGGAGGTAGCTATCCACTCCTTCCTAGGCTGGGGTCTTCTCAATCCAGCTGAGAGCAAGCTCTGCTGGGGGCAGCTAGGGCTTGCATCTGAAGGTGCACTTACTGCTGTTTTCTGCCTCAGGAGAAGCTGAAGCCTGAGTACTTGGAGGGCATTCCTGACAAAATGAAGCTCTTCTCCCAGTTCCTGGGGAAGCGGCCATGGTTTGCAGGGGACAAGGTAAAGGGAAGAGTCATGCTGAAGAGAACTTGTTTTTCCTCTTGGTTATGAAATTTCAGTCCATTCATTCTCAGCTTTCTGCAGATCACCTTTGTGGATTTCCTGGCTTACGATATTCTTGACCAGCACAGAATGTTTGAACCCAAGTGCCTGGATGCGTTCCCCAACCTGAAGGACTTCATATCCCGCTTTGAGGTGACACCCCCCAGTCCTCCTTCCTCATGGATGAATTTCTTTCTTCCCTTCCCCCTTTCTATGATGCCTCCATAGTCCTGGAGCTGAGTGAAGAATAACTAGGGTTTACTGCTTACTGGCTTTCTGCCAGCCCCTGTGCTTGGCAACTTGCATTAACTGAGCCAAGTTTACCATGATAACATTCCTGCAGGGTGGTTAGATCAATCCATCCCATTGGACAGATTAGGAACCTGAGAATGTTCAATGTCCCAGTGCCAGGGAGGCTGTGCTGGATTGTGAGCCTCTGGTTTAGCCTAAAGGCAGCCATCAGTGGCTGTCTGCTTTGTAGGGGAAGGAAAATCCCCAGAGCTTGTGCAGCTTGAGTTTCCACCCTGTAGAGAAGGAGGAGGAGTCAGCAGAGTGTGAGCAGGTGTCACTGAGAGAGTGAGATGAGTTGGGACTGATAGGAAGTACCAAGACACAGACAATATTCACACCTGCTCTGTAGGAAGCTTTGCTTGGTTAGATCCCTGGCTAAGGAAGAACTGAGACCCCAGCACTATGGTTAGTGTTGGACTGAGTAGATATGCCAGGCCTCTGTTGCAGGAATTTATCTTCACTTGTTCAATGTTCATCTTTCACCTTCTATTCCTTAGTATCTCAAGTATGAAACAGGTTGAATTCTCACTCAGTGTCCCTCATAGTCTCTGCCTATCTTCTCTGAATAAGGCTCATTGCTTGGCTCCATGGGACTTAAATGATGTCTCCCCATCGAGGGCTGAGATAGCAGAATGCAGTGGACATTCTAGATGGTGAGGTATGCATGGTGCTACCTAGACATTGAGGAGCCCAGCCTGGGCCTCACCTCACAGCTAGTCATGGGCCTCCCAGAATCCACTTGTTTGACACCCATAAAGCCTTCTTTGTTAGAGATTTGAGTGTTGGAGGTGTCAGTGCAACTGCTGGAATCTGTTCTCTTTTCTCTTCCCCATGAAGTGACATGCTTTCCCTAGCCAGGTTTTGGAGATTGTGCAATGCTGTGGGTCTGTAGTGGGTTGGGATGGAAGACACCAGACATCTTCACACTGAAATCAGCCAGCTCTGCCCAGATTTGCCTCATTGGCACTCTCTCTCTCTCTCTCTCTCTCTCTCTCTCTCATTCTCTCTCTCTCTTTTTCTCTCTTTTTCTTTGTTTTCTTTCATCCCTCCATTCCTTCTTTCCTTCCTTTCCTCTTATTCCCTCCCTGTCTCTTTTCTTGTCTTGTCTTTCTCTTGGAAATGCCAGAGTTTTGGCAGTGTGCTTTCATTGAGGCATACCTCTAGTCCTTTTTTTTGGTGCATGATTTTTTTCATGTGATTGTTTGTTTATATGTGTTCTGGTGATAGGGCTTGAACTCAGGGCCTGGGTACTGTCCCTGAGAATATTTTGCTAAAGGCTAGTATTCTACCACTTGAGCTCTACCTCTCCACTTCCAGCTTTTTGCTGGTTAGTTGGAGATAAGAGTCTCATGGACTTTTCTGTCTTGGCTGGCTTTGAACCTCAACCCTCGGATGTCAGTCTCCTGAGTAGCTAGCAGTACAAGCATGAACTACTGGTGCCTGGTCTGTGCTGGTTACTTCTGAGCCAGGGTCTTGTTTCATGCTGGGTGTTGCTTCTAGATCACAATCATCCTGGATTTCACTGTCCAGTGTATCTTTGATGACAGACATGTGTAACCATGTCTAACTCCTACTGAAATAGGTCCTGAAGACTTTT